GGTCCAGTCCAAGCAGATAAAACCTTGCGAGGGTGTGAGATGCAGACAGCTGGTCAGGTGCCATTCTCCAGCCCCAGACACCTGCAGGTTGATAGCTCTGATGGAATTTCCAAGTCTGCCACCACCATTAATAAAACAAATCAATACAAATGCATGTTCTTGATGGAAGGCCAGAAGAGAGGTGATACCAATTCCAGTTTGTAGCCTGGAAGAATTACTTACTTACCAATTTCTTCTAAGGCAGTTCTTGTTTGAAGTCTAAATGCAGCGCTGCTTTAAAGCAGTACTCCCCGGGCCATAGGGCTCTCGGAGGAGCCCAGGATCTCTGCTATCTACCTGACAAAAGGGATTTAGATGAAAAGTCTCGCTGCCTTATTAGAATTTTTGCCATTTGCTGTCAATGAGTTGTCTAAAATGACTGTACTACACACTGTACGTGGCTATTTAATTTAAAAGCATTTGTTGAAATGATCTGGTGTCATTGCTTTTAGAAGGAATCCATTGACTTATCAGCTGGTTCTTGTGGGAATGTAGGTGCTGAAATGTATGTTAAATACATTAACTCATTTATGTTATGCTGGCATCTAGAAATCTTGCATTTTGGAGCTCAAGTTATCATTCTAAGAGAGTTGGGGCTGTTCAGCCTGGAGAAGAGAAGGCTCCAGGGTGACCTTAGAGCAGCTGCCAGCGCCTGAAGGGGCTGACAGGAAGGATGGAGAGGGGCTTTTCACAAGGGTGTGTAGTGATAGGACAAGGGGGAACGGCTCTAAGCTAAAAGAGGGCAGATTTAGATTAGATATTAGGAAGAAATTCTTCCCCATGAGGGTGGTGAGGCCCTGGCCCAGGTTGCCCAGAGAAGCTGTGGCTGCCCCCTCCCTGGCAGGGTTCAAGGCCAGGTTGGATGGAGCTGTGAGCACCCTGGTCTGGTGGAAGATGATCCTGCTGATGGCAGGGGGGTTGGAACCAGATGATCTTTCAGGTCCCTTCCAACCCGAACCATTCCATGATTCTCTGAGGAATTAATAATTTAAGATAATAAAGGATACACATGATAAGTCTTTGCATTAAAGACTAAATGTATATGTATGGGGTTTGTTGCAAAAAATCAGTTTTAACTTGGGTGTCACATTCCCATTCCATCTGGTTAAAGAAACGGGTGCTTGCTTTGTGTAGTGCGCAAGAAATGGGGTGCCAAGGAGGGCAGCTAATTGTAATAATGAAAGAGCCCAAAAGTGGGAGAGAAATGATTGGTGTGATTTCTACAGTTTGGTCTATGCCAGATTGTTCCCTCCTGGAAGAAGTACGTCTTAAGAGGGTCAAAAGAGTATCTGTTAGCTTGTCTGCCTGGTGTGGGAATATATCCTCCAGTGGGAAGGAGAGAGAGAAAAGGAGGAAAAAATGAGGTGAGAAGAATGATTGAAATATCCAAAAGACAAAATCCAGAAGGAGAAAAGAAAACGACCTGGATCAGCCTTGGTACATTGCTCTGTGAAGGCTGTTCACTTGGGACATGAGTTGTAACTGATTTCTGTGGATTTTCTTGTTTGCTTTATAAGACGCTTGGGAAGGAGAAAATAAAATCCACAGAAGCTCAAAACATCATGCAGTTCTTCTGGTGTTCTGAAAAAAATAGCTAAATAATTTTGACATGTAATTGATACATGAGTTCATTATTTCTAGTTTCCTTCTTATCTGCAAGCAAACGGTTTTCAGAGGAAGTTGGAGATCAGCATAAGTTCCATGTAAAGTTATTCTATGTGACCGATAGCTTTGAATAAAATAAAAATGAAAAACAACCACCCCTATTCTATAGCTTCTCAATATAAATAAACAGTATTTTCTTTGAAGTTAAAAGAGGTTCCTGGTAGTTTTTGTGACCTTTTAGAATTGCTTGAGTTTCAGAAAACTGTACATTTGACCCTTGGCGGGGAAAATGGTTGTACTCTGAAGCTTTATGCTTGTGCTGATAAATGAAGGGTGACTCTAGCTGAGGGGTTGCGCCAGATATCGGGATGCTGGTTGCGTTTATGTCAGAGCAGATTGAATTTGACCAGATTCTGCAGGTTGAGTGGAGTGTTCCTGCAGTTGAAAGTGCCCTAACTGGCTTCGGAACAGCAAGAAAATTGGAAGAACTCACTAACTGGAGCGGCATGAATTTAGCTTTCTGTTGTTTTTTTTCTTTCAGAGTTATGTAACAGTAATGCAAGCAGATTTAAAAAAAAATGAATACATTACAGTAACCTCTTTGTTTTTTTCTTCACACCAAATCTTGTAAAAATAGAAAAGCATTTTGTAATGTCTCCTCAGATTTGCTATTCCGCTTGTGTGGTTTGTCAGAGAAATGAATGAGTGAAATGGAGGAAAAGTCCAGTGGGCTCTAAACTCTGTTTTCTCTCAGCGAAGTGACCCAGAGAATGTTGTAGTATGTGGTGGAGTCAGCCTTTTCATTCATTAACAGGACTGGAGACATTATTCATGTATTCTCAACCTTGGTAATGATAAGCTGCGGAATGTTTTTTTCTATAGCTAAACAGTAATTTTTCCAAGATGCAGCTTTTGTTGTGGTGGAAAAGCATTTCTTAATTTTTTTTGCTGGTGGCTAAACTTCTAATAATCTGTACGTATGAGTCTCCCATTCTTTGCTTGGGCTGGAGGTGGGTGGGGGGTTGCGGAGCACCAGGGATCTGGAGAGGAAGCGGGAGCTGGTCCAGGCTCAGCCTCGCTGCTGGCCGAGATGGGTTTGCGGTGGAACCAGATCACAGCGTAACCTCTGGCCTGATGTAATTAGCAGCATTTACACTGGCTGACTTCCTCTGTAGTGGGCAAAAAGTCAGGTAACTCGCAAAAACTAGAAGTAATTAGGATGTACTTTATGATTTTTAAGGGAGAATGTTATTCAGGCAGTGTGTCTCTTCCTAACTTAAAATGTTGCTGATTCAAATATTGAAGTAATACGAGCAAAAATAAAATCAGTGAGTTTGCATAACCTTCACTTTCAGAGACATTTCTGTGTCGGAGGTAGCGTGGTTCCGTGCACTGCGGGCTAGGAAGCTGTGATTCCAGTTTGCTGCTGGCTTTGAGCGAGTAACTGGCACGCTCTTCGCTCAAACTCTGGTCTAGAGCTACTGCGGTAGAGCTGAACTCAAGCTGGCTGCACACCATGATGCGCGGAACTCTTCTTCCTCCTGTTTGACAGCAATGCAGGTTATTTACAGCACTTCTAGTGGCACACTTCAGAATATTGAAGTATTTAAATATCAGGCTGATTTCTTCTAATGCAATCCTGTTCATTTTGGTAAGGACCACACCAGTTCTGATCCTGAGACTAATGAGGAGGTTTTGCTCCGGGCAGTCTTTTCTGTGGTCAATTTGTTTGGTCTGCATTGTAATTTTTAAGTTGTCGTTATTTGAAAGAGCCACTTAGTTTTATGTTTACACTTGTTTTAAGCTTAAGAATATTATTTTTGGAAAGTGACATTGTAACAAAGGAAAACTTGGCATCACTGCTTAAACACACATTGGTGTTGATATATTTTTTTTTTTTTATTTTAGATAGAGATACAAAAAAATCTTAGAAATAGATTTTGGATTTCCAGTAGGTCTCAGGTCAAAAAATCCAGATAATTGATGCTGGACACCTGTTGTAACTTAATGATTTTGGATTGTGAAGCATACTGTGGAAATTAAATAGTAACAGTGGGGGAAACATTAAAAGTACTTAATAATAATCTTTTTAATGGATTACAGAATTGCATTGAGTGAAGTATCTCCTTTCTGTTGGAGGAGGTACAAGTAGTCTTTTGGTTGAAAGCACGAGTGATACTAGTTCATGTCCAAGTTACTTCATTGTGTTTTGAAAAGTTTCAAGTAGGCTGCAATTTATTACTGCTTAAGGAGGCAAATGCCATTTATCTCTCCCTTTTAAAAACAAGATATGTGATAAGGTATTATAGGCGGAGGTGGGAAAAGAAAGCACAAAATATCCCAAATAGTGTATCCACCTTTCTCATCCATTTTGCCTTTCCTATTTAACATAAACTTAAGGAGCTTTGCTAAACTGTCTGGTGTCAGTGTCTGGTCATTACAGCATGTTCTTTGGGATTGGCTGTAATATCTTTTGCACCAGTAGTATCTGTTGCACCGGTACAGGCTCAGGGTTGACCTGCTGGAGAGCAGCTCTGTGGAGAGGGACCTGGGTATCCTGGTGGGTGACAGGTTGACCATGAGCCAGCAGTGTGCCCTGGCTGCTAAGAAGGCCAGTGGGATCGTGGGGTGCATTAAACAGAGTGTGGCCAGCAGGTCGAGGGAGGTTCTCCTTCCCCTCTACTCTGCCCTGGTGAGGCCCCATCTGGAGTACTGTGTCCAGTTCTGGGCTCCCCAGTTCAAGAAAGATGAAGAGCTACTGGAGAGAGTCCAGCGGAGGGCTATGAGGATGAGGAGGGGACTGGAGCATCTCTCCTACGAGGAGAGGCTGAGGGAGCTGGGCTTGTTCAGCCTGGAGAAGAGAAGGCTGCGAGGGGACCTTAGAAATGCCTACAAATATCTGCAGGGTGGGTGTCAGGAGGACGGGGCCAGACTCTTTCCAGTGGTGCCCAGTGACAGGACAAGGGGCAATGGGCACAAACTGAGGCACAGGAAGTTCCGTTGACGGTTGTATTTAATAGGACACAGTACACACTTTTGAGACATATTTATTATTTTTAGAGTGAAGTGTAGCCTGAAAATTACAGCTGTAATGTTGTGGGCACTACATCGGTGTTTTTACATTGTTTTGTCTTTTGTCATGTAAAAAAAAAAAAGCTTATATCTAGGAAAAACAACCCATTGTTCGTATGAAGCGATTCTGAGTTCTTTGGATTTGCTGTTTATGTGTTCCCAACTGAAACTCTCTGTGCTAAACAATGTATAACTTCAGGCGAAGCTAGCAAGAGTTCTTGGAATTTAATTTTTAAACAAACCCAGTAGATTTATATTTATAAATTTTCCTTTTTTCCCTGCAGAGATATTACATACAGCATTTCTTTGGAAGCTGTGACAACTCTCATCGTCTTTCTCTCCTGCCAGTTATTCCACAAAGAAATTCTGCGCGAGAACATCATTCACAAATACCTGATGCGTGGTCGATGGTATGTTGTGTTCTGGGGTGGTACCTAATGGCGAAGGAAACGCTTCTGATCGCTTGTTTAGGCTGTTTGTACCTGAAAACATTAGACAGCAAAATGCATTTTAATAGAAAACTGCTTCTGCTCAAAAGAAAACAGAACACACAGGCAAACACTTTTGAAGGCTGTTGGAAGGTGTCAGTTTTAAATCTCACCACCCAGACTGCAGTAAAACCATTTTGGAAGACATTTTCATTTTTTTGAGGGTAATTTCATTAACTTAAAGCAGCTTTTACTTTTCAGGATGTTTTTTTTGATTCGGCAGTGAGTCTTTTCCTGTAACACTGTGGTCTAGAGAGCTGTGTAGCTCAGAAATGCTGATGAGCCTCCTTGTGCTGCAGATAAATAGCAGCCCCTCCGAAGACTGCAAGTGTGTGCTACACTGAGTTTTAAGCTGCAGTGGTGGAAATACTTGGCAGGTGGTAAACTCAGTTGTATGAGCAGTGCCACTTGTTCTGGCCAGCCGGTGGTTTTGTTTAAATGCTTTGTCGTGGTGGCTTCTACACATTTTGGTCAGGCTGCCATTCAACCCCTTCCACCTTTAAATTCCACATGGACAGGTTTTTGCTAAATGTATCTTATCGTCTGGTTTTCTGAAAGCTCTCCTAGGTGTAAGAGAGAGGTACTGCTCCGCGGTGGCGTGCAGGGAGCAGAGGAAGGCACAGCTTGGCCGTGGGTAGAGGGAGCCCAGGGCAAACTTCAGCGTGGAACTGCGGCAGGGTAGAGGCAGAGCTCTGTATGCGCGGGGTATGGTGGTACTTCAGTCTCTGGACTGAAGGAACTGAGGGGTTGGGGCAGGATGGGGAACGCTTGGGAGAAAAGGCAGGATGTGGTCTAAGAGGTCTGAGCTGGGAGTAGCAGGGAGGGGTGGGAGCTTGGTGACTGGGGTGCTCGGGCAGCATCGAGAGTTGGAAGGGTGCTGGGGAGTTCCTTGTAACGCAGCCCCTGCCTCTTCACCTTGGAATCACATGGGGACAGGTGCTGGCTGTTTGGTGGCAGTCCTCCTCTGTTTTGGAAATACCGTAACCTTTTATTTAAATCCAACACATTTTACATGCGTTTGTTAAAATCATTGGGGTCAGATGTTTCATTAGTCATTGCAACTGCACCCACATTCAAAAATACTGGGGAGGTGTGGAGTAATACTGTTGTGACCTGTTCTGTGTAACCAAAGCATGGAGTGAAAACTGAACAAAGACCATCTTTCTTTCCCTTGCATAAATATTTTTCCAGTTTTGTCTTGAGGTAAAAGAATACAATGATTCCAGAAATTAAGTGACTGCTTTAAAAGTAGTATTGGAAAAAAAAGAAAATACACAAAACAAAAAATGGTTTCCATGATCCTGCTGTTGAAGGTGCTCCCACAGAGCCCTGCTGAAGTTGGTGCGGCTTTGCGTGGGCAAGACCTTGGCGTTCTTTCCCTGGGAGAGTTACTGTCTGTGTTTAATGCCAAACGGCAGCCTCTGCACCCTGCCTGGGCTTTGTTGTGCCGATTTTTGCAAGCTGCAAGTCAACTAAAGCTGTCTTCTTCTTTTCAGTCTCCCATATACCAGCAGACTTGTGAAAACTTTACTATATAATTTCATTAGACAAGAAAGAAGCCCTCCTCCAGGGACCCATGTCTTTCAGCAGCAAACTGACGGAGGAGGACTGCTTTATGGAATCGCATCTGGGGTGGCAAGTGAGTCTGATTTTCTAGAAACTATATTTCAAACCTTACAAAGCATTGCCTTCATGTGACCTCCCTGACAAACACACCTGCAGCCCATTTCTGTTTCAGCAAGTGATACTGGTGTGTGTGCTCAGTGTAGAAAAGCTGTCCGCAGGCCTGGGATTGTTACTGCGGAGAGTCCATCTCGAGGTGTGTTAGGATCTGAAGAAATTATATCTGCAGGACAGCACAGGGTAAAAGTAGCACTTAGTCCCTATTTTTGTTTTGTTGAGACATTAAGAAAACCCCCCAAGCAACCAAGTAGTGCCCCATCTGATAAATCACATGCGTCGAGTTACTTAAAATGTTGTCAGAAATACTTTTATGTGCCTGTTTTATTCTTTATGGTTACTCGGTGGCTGTGGTGACCTGCTGTGGGGCTCTACTTGAGCAGAAGGTTGGACTAGGTGGTCTCAAGAGGTCCCTTCCAGTCTCGAGGATTCTGTGATAGAAAGGAGTGGCCCAGAGAGGAATTTTTGCAATGTATTGTGGTGTGTGCCATTCCCAGTAGGTTGACTAATGTTTTTTCCTGAAGAGTATGACTGGATTCTGACCTTTTGTGGGTGGACTGTTTGCTATAGAGAGATATCGCCTGAAGAATATAAAAGATTTGATGCATTTTTTTGTTAAGGAAAGGGGTTCTCATGTTTGTTATGCTACATGCCGTGTTTTGGTTAGTGGTTGCCCCCTTCCCCACACCAGATGTGTTTTACTGGTGTGTAATCTATAAAAATTCTTCCTAAAGGTTTTTTCTTTTCCATATAATGAGAATAAAATAGAATATATTGCTAACAGTAAAGGTATGTGTTGTTTCCTTTTTCCCCGATAAACCAAATAACACTTAGCAAGTCAGTTGCTGTTAAAACTGATGCTGTTTATTTTGCTCTTTTGTGAAATCCATTCACTGGCAGCATCCCTAGGGGATATTAAAGTTCAGACCACAAACGGTCTGCCAGAAAATATTTTACAGTCTGTGACAGTGCGCGTGGATCCCCTCATGGAGGCAGTAAGAGAGCAGGGCTTGGCTACTTGGTGCAGCGGAGCCGAAACACATTGCCGCTGCTGCGCAAGGTGAGGTTGCACGCAGCTTGCTGTGCTGCTGGAACACGCAGTGCCTTTCTGGTTTCCAGTTAACACATCCAGGTTAGGCCACTGTGGTGCTCGGGTTGTTCACATAACGCAAATGCGTCAGCAAACAGTTGTTTAGTTTGCAGTTTATTTAAACAGAGGAGAGAAATGAAGTTGTTCCCTACAACATTTTTATTCAAGAGTCCCAACAGGTACATTCTCCTCCCTCTTTTCAATTGCTAGAGGAAATTAATGTTTTTCTTAATGTTTTTCTGAAGCACTTTTCGGTATGCGGTTTGTACTTTTGCGTGTGACCGAAGAGCTAGTCATGCTTTGGGTGTCTGTCTGCCTTAGTGCTGCTGCAGGCAAAAGAGCTTTTTTCTTCTGCTGGTTCCTTGCTTGATTTGTGAAGTCCATCCAAACTGCCACTGCTCCTGCCTTCCTCTGCAATCATATCCCCCCCCCCCCCCACTTTTTATTTCTTGGATATCGAGTTTGCATTTCTTAATGCAAACTCTGAAGGTTTCAGCCTACGTCTGTTCTTGTTCTTCCTACACTTCCACCCCCTTCACTCCTCTTGAACCGTTCTCTTAACTCACTTGGTGTACTCCTCCGCTTATTCTCTTGCTTCTTTCCATGAGTACCTGAAGTGCCATCTCTTCTCCCAGTGAATTAAGTATCTTTATTTAAAGCTTTAAGTAAAGGAGCCTTTATAAAGAGCTTTCTGATGACCTGCCTGGGAAAGGGGGAATAACGTTAAGTTTCCTGTTGGAAAATAGAAAGATTTTTTCTGTTTGTGCCCAAATAGTTGGTTAATGTTTTTTGTGTCTGTTTGCCTGTATATGATGTTGGACTATGGTTAAGACTTGGACACAGTAAGATTGGTAGAGCAAATAGCGTATCTGGGCATCGGTAATATCTCTGAATTCACCCTTTGCAATCTTTTGTTTTCTGTAGCATCAGGTACATGGGTAGAGTGCAATACAGATTGGAAGAGAGCAACACAAATTGCTAGTCTGTTATGGAATAGAAGCGAGTTTTCAGCAACAAACAGATGCGGAAAACTCAGGCATGATTTCTGTATTGTGTTTTTTTTGTGTATTTTGTAACCTTTACAGGAGAAGAATTGAAATAAGAATGGAAGAATTGAAAATTCACTTTTATGTTGTTCAGTGTCTTTTAAGTACCACGTAATGCTTAAAATAAGTCTACTGAAATAATCTAAATAGATTATATTTAGGGTGAAAGGAGGTAGGAGCCTAGTTTTAAAACTCATTTGTTTTTCACATGAAATTTCGAGGCTGAAAGAATTATTGCACTTGTTAATTTGAAATTATTTAACTTGCTACCACAGTCACCTATGTTACCATGTATTACATTGTACGTGTTTTGTAGTCACTTGCACAGCAGCAGTAGATCAACAAACTCTTAGCAGCACTTTATTTTAAATCCCCCCCCCCTTTCCTTCCTTGTGCTTCAGAAGTTTACCCTTTCCCACAGTTAACCTTCTCCTGCTTCTCATCCTTTGCAGCCTGTTGGGTTTTTTTTCCCCTCTCATGAGCCTGCGTAACTGAAACCATACAGGCAACATCGTCACACTAATTACTCCTTGGTTTGGCCTCTGACTGTGTGCAAGTGCCTTTCTCCATCCTGTATACGAAATACCTTGATTAGAATTGTATCGCAAATTATGTTATCCTCCAGTAGTTAAAGAAACAGTTGTGGGTTTGGAATGAGGGGGGAAATAATACTATTTAGCTTTGTAACTTCATAAAGGACGTTCTTCCATACTGAGTAGACTGTGCTTTATCTTTGCGGTCTTTCTGTAGGTGTGCACAATAATTGTAAGGTGCTGCTAGATCTGGTGCAGTGGTGTTGATGTGTTGCGAAGGCATAAATGGCGTCAATATGCATGGCAGCAGAGATTAGACCTCATGTATTAGTAATTTAGAAATTAATTTTTCTTGGTTCACAAGGCGCATTGGACCAACTTAGCTTAAAAAAAAATTTTTTTTTTGGTTGGTTTTAAATCCCCTCCTCTTTTTTTTTTGAGTATTACTAGCATTTGCCAATTCATGTTCCACAGTTAACCAAGCTGAGAGAACTTTTTCTGTGCAAGCAAAATTTTTCAGTTACTCATTTTATTTCTTGGCAAATAAAATTCATGTTACAATGAGGAACTGCTGGACAGATGGTACGCTAAGACAGGAAAATGCTAGTGCTGCTCAAGACTATTGAAAAATAAGTCAATTTAAATGGTTCTGTTTGAAGTAATTGATCCAATTTATACTTTGCTATTCAGAAAACCCAAAACATTTTAATGCATCGTGCAGTGCTTGAGGAGTTACTGCGACATTAAGGTCGACTTGACTTTGTGCTGTTTAGGTTATAGATGCAATAGGTACAATATTGTACCTGTAAGAAACTAATGCAAAGGCAGTAGCTGGATTAATCTTCATTAATCATCGTAACTAATCTGGCCCACAAGTGTACTGTTGTAGCATTAATATAAATAGTGATATTCAGCGTGTAGTGGTCAATGATGACTCGTTTTCTCATGTCTGTGCTCTCTGGTTGGAGCTAGACAAACATTCCTGACCGTTAATGACTTTGTTATGTGAGTATATACTTCACTCTGCGTTATGTCATTCAGCATTAGTGTACTTGAAGGCATCTCATGACCTGTGTTGTACATCAGTGACTTAGGTACGCTATAGCTTATTCCTGTTTTTTTGGTGCTACATTCTGGTTAATAAGAGCACTTGCATGGTTATTTTTAACTTTACAAGAAAACTACTTAGTCATTTAGCGTTTTATGTTAATATCTTTTTCCTTTTCAATTTTGTGTAGTCTGATTTGGAATATCTAGATTAAAACATGTCAAAGTGAAGAGACACAAAAAACTACTAATACTGCGTCTGTTACTTCTTACAATTCCACCAAGCTTGATTTCTACTAACTGTTTCAGGCTGGTTGTTTCTACCTTCCAGAGCCTTTTCATGCTGTGTCACAGATCTGGTATGTGATCTGCTCCATAACTACAACCTTGTCTTTCTCCCTGGTGCTTAGTCCATGTTTAATTGCCTGTTAATGCTCACCGTAATGAAAATGTAGTTCTGAGAATTCTTTCCCAGTTCTGTGTGGCCATCTTCCACCTTACTCACACTCTGCAAGTGTCATGCTCTTGTTACTGCAGTCATGACATTTGGACCTGACTGGATCTGAAGATTTAGATAGAGTCCAGTTCTTTAACCTTTTTCTTAGTTTCTTTAAAGGTATGTTTGAACTGGAGTGAGAAGTGTGGCTGCAGCTCAAGCACACGTTCTTTGAGACCAAGTAGTTGGGTATCGGTAGTAGGATACTTCTGACAGACTCAGTCTACAAAAGCTGCCCGGCAAGCTGGGTTCCATAGCAGCTTCGTTCTGTCTGACTTTTGGTCGACTGCCGGCAGAACATGAGCCAGCAGTGTGCCCAGGTGGCCAAGAAGGCCAACAGCATCCTGGCTTGTATCAGGAATGGTGTGGCCAGCGACTGAAGGAACTGGGGCTGTTTAGTCTGGAGAAGAGACGGCTGAGGGGAGACCTTACCACTCTCTACAACTATCTGAAAGGAGGCTGTAGTGAGGCAGGTGCTGGTCTCTTCTCCCAAGTAACTAGCGACAGGACAAGAGGAAAGGGCCTCAAGTTGCATCAGGGGAGGGTTAGATTAGATATTAGGAAAAATTTCTTTCCTGAAGGAGTGTTCAGACATTGGACCAGGCTGCCCAGGGAGGTGGTTGAGTCCCCATCACTGGAGGTGTTTATAAAACGTGTAGATGTGGCACTTGGGGACATGGCTTAGCAGGCATGGTGGTGTTGGGCGGATGGTTGGACTTGATGATCTTAGAGGTCTTTTCCAGCCTA